CTTCAGTTTTTTTTTTAATATCACTTAAAAGTATAGTTTCCTCAAATGACTAAGGTGGCCCTTGGGGTGGCCAAAAATTAATCTATGGTGGCCAAGGCCACCATTGGCCACCTGCTGGCTCTGCCATTGTATGGCAAGGATTTAATTTCTCTCTCCACTCGCCAGGATCTGTCACTCTGTCACCAAAAACATTAAGGTATAATTGCATTCTCTGTTTTATTACAATCCAGAAAAAAACATTTATCTTGAAAACATTCACTGTTCAAATCCCTCAGCAACGAGGGACATTCACGTATCTCTTGTTGTCTCAAGGACAGTCACATATTCAAAATGTCTGCACAGCTGATTGACATTAGCAAACAGAAACGTCTCTGTCAGTTTTACAGAAAATGAGGTAATATTTGACGTGGTAGTAGCCGAGTGCCCCTAACAACACCAACTGTGAGCATGACATTTCTCAGTGTCACATAAGATTATTCATAAAGGTATCTTTAAGGTTTAACCAAAAACTGAAGCAAACATATCTGCTAATGTAACGGCACAGAAAGGTGACGAGAGGTCAGGAATGAAATGGGAAGCCTGATTCATCAGGAAGCCTTGGTGTATTTCCTTTTCATTTAGCACCTCTAAACTATTCTTATTTATTTGCCTTTATGAAAAGCAGCCTCGTGTTATTAAAGCAAGGTGAGAAACAAAGTGAGAAATATTCCAGTGAGAAGAATATATCGTTTTTTCACCAGTTTTTCTTGCCGCTATGAAAACTTTTGGCAAGATGGGCTTTTTTCTTTCTTCTTTTCTTTTTTCCACTGCGGGTGTTGTCAGTCAAATGTGAAAAACGAGTTTGTCTCATTCGCCACAACCTGAATTATCTCCCTCTGTCACTCATCAGCCTTCTTTCCAGCAGTTTCACTTGACGGACAGTAATATGGGACACTGCCAACTCTGCTTCAGTTTCCTCTCAAGTCTGCGCTGCAGTCTTGTTAGTGCTTTTAATAAAGTGGGATCAGCTGATGCCTGGAGGCTGAGGGGTCAAACATGGACGGAGGATTTTAAATGCATCATTTTAGTTTAAAGTGGACTTTTTCTTGTTTATAACGTGTGGTGTGCTCCTACCTGTCGAGTCTATCAGTGGAGTACATAGCTTTGCTAAAACCATCCAGCAGGGAGGCGTGTGTCTGCAGGATGATGATGTTGTAGATCACCACGGCAACCAACATCACCACCATCTTCAACTCATAGTTAATCCTCAGGAACACTGAGCATGAGACCAGGCCCAGAATGCAGCAATAGATGAAGTACTGAAGACAGAAAACATACTTTTCTTGTAGAAAACTTGCCTACAGTTAAGACATAAAACTCATGCTGAATGAGGGGATTTCAAACATATTTATCACGCTGAGAAAAAAGATTAAATAGTAACAGTGTTAGTAAAATATATTTCATGAACAAGTGGACGGACTTTATTGAAACTTTCAGACAGCAATCGATGAATGTACACCAGTGCTGCATAACGTTGATCACGGTTTAAATGAGGCCTAAACGGTGGCGGGCGCTTGTGTTCTGATAGCGCCGTCACTTACCGGAAGATAAAACTTGTTTTTGTCCCAGTCTTTTTCTGCACTGTCCGTCAAGCTGTTGTTGGATAGGTTCACGACGAGGGGAGCAGTTGGCAGGATGTCGTCCATCGATCCTCCAGGATCCTCCATGAAGAACTAACAGACAGATCAGACAGGATGAGGGGTGCAAGCGGCAACACGTCAGTACGCTCCAACAGGCCGTCCATGTGAAAACCAGATGTTGACAGAAACACTAAATATTGCAGTTCACTGAACTTTTCCTCAGATTTGCTTAATTTTTTTTTTTTTGTCAAAACTGGATCACGAGAGAGTAATTATTCTGATCTGCAGCTATTGTAAGGTTTGACGCCTTTAGAACTTAAATAGTTTCCGATTTGTATCTTCAGCAGGAGTCAGCTCTACTCAACTCAATATTTTCATTATGAGCTGTTTCTGTTCTATTTTTACGTTCCTGATAACAAACAAGCTGAGGAGACCAACTGCACCAACAATAGAGTGATTTCCCCCTGTATATTGGATTTAAAATGATTTTACTCATATTGGTCAAGACTTGATTTATTTGCTAATTTCTGTCCAGCAATAAATATGAAATGAATCCACATAAAAATCACTTAATTAACAAACAGAAGGAAACCAAACTTTGATCTGGTTCAAAAATAACAATATTGTGTGTGTAAAGAAACACAACAGACTCCACCTTGTCTTTGTGGGCCGGCTGTGGCTGAGAGAATACCAGTACCAATTTATTTATAGAGCGCTTAAAACAGCAACAAGGCCAACCAAAGTGCTGTACAATAGAAACAAACAAGCACAGTGGACAGGAACACATAAAATAAAAATAAAGATACAAATAGCAGTGGATAATAACTAAATGGCCAACACTGTAGAATATCGACAGGATCAAAACAAATCACACCGTGTCAAAGGCAAGGGGATAAAAGTGGGTTTACAGGCGAGACTTAAAGACTGTGAGTGTGGGAGCCTGCCTGACGCAGTGGCAACTCATTCCACAGTCTTGGACCTGCAACAGAGAAATCCCTGTCACCTCTGAACTTACGACATGTTCCTGGAACTGAAAGGAGCATCTGGTCTGCTGACGTCAGAGAGCGTGGTGGGACATATGGCTGCAGAAGATCAGTGAGGATGGGGCAGAACTGTTCAGTGATTTAAAAACATACTTGAGTATTTTGAACTGGATCCAAAGGTGAATGGGTAACCAGTGCAGGGAGGCCCCAACTGGAGTAATGTGCTCTCTATAGCCTGTACCAGTTAAAAATCAGGCTGCAGCATTTTGGACCAGTTGTAGACGTGTAATGGAGGATTGACTGATTCCAAACAGAAGCGCATTGCAGTAATCGAGTCTGGATGTTATGAACGCATGGATCACTGTCTCAAGATTCTTTTTGGACAATATGGGCTTCAGCTTAGAGAGCCGCCTCAGCTGAAAAAAAAAAAACAGAATTTAACAATCATGTTTACATGATTGTTAAATTTCAAGGAAGGGTCCATTATCACTCCCAAATTGGTGACTCTTTGTTTCTCTAATGGAGCTAGAGAGGAAAGGTCAATGCAGTGGTTCATGGACGTGCCATTGAGATGGAACAAGATGACTTCAGACTTCTTCTCATTGAAACTTAAGAAGTTTAAAGTCATCCAGTCCTGGATGTCAGCCAGGCAGTCCAGCAGAGGTTGAATAGAGCGTGTGCCTCTGTGCCTCAGGGGGAAGTAAATTTGACAGTCATCGGCGTATATGAAAGGGAATGTTGTGATTGCGGAAAATAGCACCTAGTTGCAGCAGGTATAAAGAAAAGAGAAGGTTAGAGCAGTTTTTCTCCAGTGTGAGAGTTGGGGGTTTGATTCCACCAGCAGTCACATACCAAAGTGTCCCTGGGCAAAACACTGATCCCCTCATTGACTCTGATGTGTGTCCCAGCAGTGTATGAATGTGATAAAACACTGATTAGTCTTTGTAGAGCTCTAGTAGAGTGCTGTATGAATGGGTAAATGAGGCACAGATTGTGTTGTAAAGAACTTTGTGTCTTGATAATACAGAAAGGTACTATACAAGTACAGTCCATTTACCATTTGTTGAACAATAAGACGTACACCGATGTCCCCCGTTGCTGAGGGATTTGAATAGTAAACGTTTGTGGTTTTAGAGATGAGTGTTTTTCTGGACGGGAGTTGAACAGGGAATGCAAGCAGTGCACGATTTTCAAGTGGGCAAGAGATACACTGTGGAGAAGAGTCCAAGGCAGATGACAGTGTCCATCTATGGCAAGCCGATTGTGTCATTAATAGCCACTTTTACCTATTACATGATACAATGGCATGCCTACTGCTCGACTGCTATCTAGTGGCTGAAAATGCTAGTGTTCAATATTTTCAGCCAGAATTAATGAAAATGGTCATTTCTCAGCCAAAAATTGGTTTATAAATATGGGAAAAATCCATAAGTATGTCGCTTCGGCGTACAAGTTGCAGGGCATGCAAATTATGCAAAAAAACCCTGCGACTTATAGGCTGAAAATTATGGTAATTTAAATTTTAATTTGGCTGTAATTTTACATCCTGGTTCATCCATACCAGTTAGTATGTCCTGATACTTAAAATCCTAAAATAAAAACTAGGTTTGCTTTTATTTTTCCCATGGCTGTATGTAAAATCTTTATTTTCCGTCTCATACCTTTACGTGTGTATAACGTTTTAGATTTATTTTACAATAATCCTGTGATCACATCAGTAATGACATTAATATTATGCAACAAGATTCAACACAGTTACTGAATATTACCAGAGATTATGAAGTTTAACTGCTCCGAGGGCTTCACGGTCTTCTTCGAATGAGCTGGGTCTTAAATACTCGTCATCAGATCACGTTTAGCACTTCCTGCAGCGAGAACACACCCCACTACAGAAAGTCACTCCTCCACTCAGAGCAGGAACTGGTTCATGGGTTCAAACAGTTCAAGCTCCTTTTTAAATGGTTTTAAAAAGGCTGCTCAGATTGATGTGCCGACGTTTGAAATGTGTGACTGTTTGGTTTCAATGCCTGATTGTTCGTGGAGAAATTCACCTTTTTCTCTGAAACAGAATGGTTTGCTGCTTGAAACAGTGAGACTCCCACCTGAAGCGTAGGACCGAGCCTCCTGGAACAAATGTTTCATCAGGTGTAATTATTTTCTGTGACAGCTCCTTTATCTCTGTCCAGATCGTCTGCGTTGCATTTACTTTACCTGTTCACACAGACTGCTCATGGAGAAACAATCTCCTCTTTGGTGCCTATAGGCAACAAGAAAAGACCACAACACAAACACAAACTGACTTCTGACACGCTTAATCAGAACCAAACACACACCTGCACGCACCACGAATACACTCATGATTCTGACTGAAACGGTTATTATTATTTTCTATGAATTTGTTGTCCATCTGATTTGTACACCGGATGTCCTTCCTGACTCAACCACAAACTGCTGAGCTACCACAGCTCTCTGTGTGGAGCACAGAGCTGCTATCTAGGGCACTCGGGGGAGCACCTGGGGGGTTAAGGGCCTTCCTCAAGGGCCCGGAGTGGAGCAAACGAGAGTGGAGGCAGGTGTGGGTGCTTCACCTTTCCCACCTACATTTTGATATTGTTGGTCAGTGGAGTTGAATTGGTGACCTTCTGATCACAGGCCCACCTTTAACCTCTGCACCACCACTCCCCCACAAAAGGATAACTACTGTATATATATTTGGTAAATTTCCTGTCAAAACAATTTTTTCACTTTTTGCTTTGAAAGCATCCTCTCAGTGTTCCAGTCTACAAAACAGTACCAGTATGTACTCCTGGTTTTTTACTGATATTCCTGAAGTTTATTTTCTAATTTGCAACAATATTTCTTCTTCAGATTGGTTTATACTTTTAAAACTTACGGATTCAGGAATATATTATCGTTCTGTTTTGTTGGAGCCTCTGATTTAAAAGGCAAAGAATCGATTGTGCACTGGAGGGATCATTTTCTGTGATAATTCAACGTGAACGCAGAGAGCTGAATCACTTTGCTGACATTTGCAGAAAAAGCTGAAACTGTGGAAGCCCATTTC